TAATTAAAAGCATGCTAATTTATTCCGATAATTTAGCTATTTCCCATCTTCAGCGTCCTAAAAATACAGCCGGAGTTCTCCTTGCGACACTCTCATAAGCGACCACCTCTAATTACAGGCAGCATTCAGTGAAACACCGTTTGAACTGACTTTTAAAAGCGCTGTAATGTTAAGCTCTCTTAAGCAACAGTTGCCGTGAGCGGAACACTCTTGTGAATCACTAGCTGGACCGTTTCGTTTGTTTTTTGGTTCTTATAACCGACCACTACGTCGACACTTAAACAAAAGCATTAACTTCATGATTAAAATTTCGGGTAAACTATAGCAAAAGCGCGAATGGTTCCTTGATTTGGAATGACCAAAGTTATTAAAAAAGAAACTACTTAATATTCTTGTACCTAAATATATTCGTAATAAAGAACACGTGCCTAGATGCTTAATTGCCCGTAATTTTGTGTTGCTCATACGTAAAAATCCTGGTCGAGGGTAAAGAGAGAGTGAGAGACTGAGCAGAGCTCCAGGCGTGTAAAGAGATTGTTTCTTAATCTAACATATTCCCAGGTTTTTTGCTAAGCTATCGTTAGTGACCGCCATTGAGAAACGGCGAGCACTAGTTGAATAAAAATGGCTCAGTCTATTTTACAGAAGAAACGTGAAACTAAGGTTAAGGTTACGAGAGCTAATTTTGGCAACTGCCATTGAGTTAACCATAGGCAACCAGAACGCAGAAAATATGAATACCTACAGCAAAATTTATTGTCTTTGGAAATGACGAAGAGTGAAATTTCCCAACTAAGTGTTCGGCTTTAGTCCGTGGGTGATAAAATGGGGATCAAATACAGTTTAAACTTCTATGGCGGAAGGCACAAATATGTATTTCATCTGTAACTGAATCCAAGTCGAAGGAGGGACTTCTCCAATAAAACTGACGTTAAAACCGATTTGTTTTAATTGTTCAGTTAACGCTGTATCACCCACTAATGTAATAATATAATCGACCACTATTGCAACACTAACTACTTATGTAATAAATATCAACCACTAATGAAATACTAACATTACTTTAATAAATAGAGTGTTTTCACATGACGTCACGGTGGCCATATTGGTGTCCCAAAACAGTGAAACGGTGGCCATGTTGGTGTCCCAAACCAGTCCTGTGGGAGTTGAACTCCTTTCTTATGCAAACGCTTTCTTTTGTTCCAATAAATTTGCGTAGATGCTGGCCACGTGAGTGAAAACACTCTATATCAACCACTAAAAGTTAACCTCAGTTCATTTTGTGTGTGCTCCTGTTCTTTATGCGCTTCAGGCTTCCTGTATAAAATGCTTTTAAAAACAGTTGACAGCACTCTACTACTGAACCTGGACAAATTTCACTTGTTGTTCAAAAAAAAGAGTTTTTTTCGGATATTATAGGACAAGTTGGTACACGTCCCAGAAGTAGGAACACTATTATATCGTCTTGGTCATGCGTCCGTTGCCTAATACTTACCGTAGAGATTCATATGCTAGTGTGCGCACTATACATACCTCCATGACTAATACATTTATTTTGAATTTATCGCATCTTTTAAATGTAAAACATTAACAATACTCACACTGAAATGTACTAGTCGTGGATATATATGTTGTCTGCATTAATTTGGAAAAATTAGCAGAACGTCAAAACAGTGAATGTTGTAGCGTGGATTTTTGACCGGTTCGTTGGTTAGGTTTGTCTTGAAATTTCAAGGTGTTGCAGTAAATCAATCCAATGAAAGATTATGTGAAGAGATTTAAAAAGAATTTGTTCGAGTCGTTTGAGAGATGTACAAAAAAGCGCTAAAAGTCCAAATTTTGAATGAAGTTGCACTTATACAGGTGGTGAGAAAACGGGTTAGTCTTCAAGATCGCAAGAACGTAAATAAACCAAATTTTCCTAGCATTAAAATATGATATTAAGCAGCATTCTGACGCTGCTTAAGAATAATTTGAGTCATTTGTAACTTTTTTTTATTAAATAAACTATCACGGCTATTGAAAATTTAAGGTTTGAAATATATTTTCGTTTTAGTTGAATTTAAACATACAACTACGGAGATTGTTTGCTAAACACCAAACTTTAAGTTCCTGGTGTTGGATTTTCGGTAGCGGGTCTAGATCACAGCACACAAAATTCGGCTTTTATCAATTTCAAAGTTTTTTGTTTATTGTTCTCATAGTAATATCGATTTTACTTAAAACTGCATTTTCACAAATTTCTATCCATAACCAATTAACCAAAGGAAAAAAACACTTTTAAGGCGATTGAAAAATATCGGTATGGCCTCTCAAAAACTGTATGGAAACACCTTTAGCTCAGTTCACCTGCGATTCGTTAAAAATGATCAGAACATCAAAGCAAATGTAAACAATACAGTTTTTACAGCAAGTCAAAAGAATGTCTACTGCCTATATCCACCTCATTCAACATCAGTTAACCAGGAAGTCATTGATGATTTCGGTGGGAACTGCAACGGAGTCTGTGTTAGTGAGGAAAAGGGGAAAGGTTCTGTCGTCACTATACCGGATAGGTATGAATTGAATTGAGTTCTTGCCTTGACTAAAACAACTCGGAAATTAAGGAAATCAAATAATTCATTAATGTTTATTACCTATCATGACGAAAATAGTTTCGATCACCGACAACAACAAGCTTTATTTTCATTACTATAACAAAGGATTACAGTATTGCAAAAGCTACTTGGATTTAATTATTGATTCCTTTTTAAATATTTAAAATAACTTTAAATATAATAATCATTGCTTATTTTCAACCATCAGTAAGATTAATTATTCCGATCACTCGCTGATAAGACTGAGTGTCAAATCAGCCATTGCAAAGCTATCTTTTAAAAAGCCCATTACTTTACCAAAGAACAATAACCAGCCAAAAAACATACATAGGCTGGGATAGTGACTTTCACTCGGATAGTAGGTTGGGTGCCCTGTGGTAGGTTTGTTAAGAGTTCCTGTGGAGGTTTGTGTTAGTTAATGGATGATTGGACAATTTAGGCTTCTGGTAAACTGCCCACCTACCCCTCCCCTAAGCTAACATTAACACTAACTTCTCGCTTAGGGCAAAATGATGGCTTAGGGGAGGGAAAGGTGGGCAGTTAACCAGAAACCGAAATTGCGAATGAAAGAGTTCCTGTGGAGGTTTGTGTTAGTTAATGGATGTTTGGACAATTTAGGCTTCTGGGAAACTGCCCACCTACCCCTCCCCTAAGCTAATATTAACACTAACTTCTCGCTTAGGGCAAAATGATGGCTTAGGGGAGGGAAAGGTGGGCAGTTAACCAGAAACCGAAATTGCGAATGTTTGATGAAATAACGAATTTCCCTTTTTATTCTTTCCTTTTTTACGCGATAGATGTGTCACCCACAGGGAACCTAGACTGTGAAATAAGTGCACAGAAATGTCAACCGCCTTTTCAGAAGATAACAGTAACGCCCAAAGACTCTAAAGTGACTTTGAACTGCTCTATTAAGAATGGGGGAAAAGTACAAGACATGACCTGGCAGGACCTTGAAAAACACCTCAATGCCAGTGACGCCGGTCTGTTCTTACAACAAATCGATTCAAAGAATGGAAGTCAGCCACGTGAATGTTTTTCTATAAAATACGCCAGTGAGTATGTTCTTCTTTTGCCCTGTCTGTATTAAATTGATGGGGAGAAAAATTTCATAATGCGCCCTTCAGTTTTTTTGTGTGTCCTATTTTTTAAGTGGATTATAACGCATCCTATGAATGCCTCGTAACAGGTTTAGGCAGATTCAAGCTCAGCTGAGGCAATTTTTACTGTTGGATTTGTATTGAAGTTATAGCCAGCTGAATCACCTCACTTTGAACATGGTTCATCGCGAAACTCTAGTGGCCCATGCCATGCTGGAAGGCAAAAAAAGCAAAGGGACATGACAAACAACAAACAAAGGAATCATTTTAAATGATGTTAGCTTTTTGTTTGGCTTGACTCAGTGCGCAGGACCTCGCTCTCCAGCATGGCAGGTTTGTGCCACAAAAATGACTTACTGCAAAGGGCTTATTCAACATCAACAAGGCATGGAGTAAAACATGGTTGGTCCGTTTGACTGTAATTATCTTAAAAATCGTGAGCTAAGCAACGACGACGACGACGGCAGTGAAAATGTCGCTAAAAAATTAAATTTGCCTCGTTTCAAATGTTATCGCGTCTACTTGGAGCTGCTTTATAATTTGTCAAATGTTGGCGATGTCGCCTGGAGTTGAATTCTTAAGGACTTTACCCAGGTTCAGAAAGAGAAAGGAGAATTCGTTGTCGTATGTTCACTTTCTCTATAAAACGTCGCATTAGGAGGTTTCACTTCATAGTCGTGCAGTGAACGTCTAAGAAATGTACTAAGAAGCTTGATGCACGTGCAGCAACTGTTGTTTTCATCTTAAAACCAATTGTTTTTCGACGATGTTGTCGTGGTGGTTCAGATTTTCACTTTTCAGATTTTGATTTTTTTTTTTTTACACTAATTCAAGAGGTTGCTATAAAAATTAGAACTATATTACAAAAACAACAAGAAGAAAAAACCAACAAATTACATAAATGCTGATCAAAGGTGAAATGCGCGCAGTGGCCAAAGGAGCTTAGGCTTTCGAGTTCACCACTTAAGCTTCCTAGTTTAAATGACATGGGTGCATGACTTACGAGCTTTGAAATTAAGACGAAGAATTCCTTCTTAGTTCCAGTTGAGAGAGTATATATGACAAGTTCTCCCATTGACTTATATCCTGACGGGAAAGTAGAGGGCGGAAAGGAACTGAAGTGTACCTTCAAGGGATGGCCTCGTCCTCGTGTAGTTTGGTACAATCCAGATAAAAACAAATCATCAACGGATCTGAAGGTTTTTACATCACAGAGCAGCTGTTTGGAGAGGATACCTTAAGTTCCGTTCTTCTCAATCATAATATCCAAGAAAAACAAGCAGGGGCTTATCAATGCACTGGAATGAACAACATTACCGACTGGTCGACTAAAAAATCAGTGATAATTGAGCTGTATCATCGCTGTGAGTCATTTAATTTCTTATTTCTTCTTATATACACGGACGCACAAAACCAACTTAATTAACAGTACCTCGTTTGAATCGGGCACATAGAAAGATAATGCCGTGTTTGCCCTGTAAGCAATGGAAAGTAACCGATTTTGACCAAGAGATACAGCTCATTTTCTTTTGATTTAGGCGGAATTAAATACTGGGTGCTTCATGTTTAAAATAACAGATTAACTTATTCCCAGCTGAATTTAAAAGAATATAACTGAAAATTTCGTTCCACCTTCCTCTTCCATTCAGACCAATTGGACGCTGGAATTTTTGTTTGTTTATCCCTCGGGTCACAAGGGATAAGTAAATAAGTAAATAAATAAATAACGATTTAGTGGCGCTCGCTCATCCACATAGTGGTTCTTTGTCTGCCATTCTGGCTCAAATTTACCCTGCGTAACTGGCGGGATTAACGTGGGAGTGATGCATTGTTTTGGCGGCGATGGCGGAATAAGGGTAAGAAGCAACAAAACTCAACCAGGCCGACCACATATGATGTTGCCTGAGGAATCAAGCAGAGGACAGTCATTAATGAGAGGGGAGTGTTCTCACCTGAAATCCAGTAGAACCTCTATGTAACGAACTCCTCGGTATAATTAACAATTCTTCTACCAGAGTGCGTTGGATATGAGATGTTAGAGAGTCCGTATTAACGGAGGGACCTTATTAAGCGGGTAGAAAATGTAAGGGCTTTCTGTTCCCAGGGACAAAGCAAACTGTTCGTAACAATGAGATGTCTGTATTGAGCGGGTTTCCATACCGGAGCGGGGTTTGACTGTACAATAAATAAAAGGAACCTCGATATAACAATTTAAACCTCTTTATTAATATAGTGAATATATTTTGCCCGTCCTTTGGGTCTTCGTTCAGCTGTTCGTTACATCAAGACTCCAATGTAAAGTGTTATGTGATTGTTAAAAAGAGAAAACGAGACGCCGAATAGCTATTGAAAGCAACCCTTAGTAGCACAGGCCATATTGGTGGGAGGTAAGAGAAGTGGGGTACATCCGATCAACCGATCGTTAGAGCGTCTCTAAAGACGGCTTGACGAGACAAGTCGCAAAAGAGGGAACCAGTGGGATAAACAAAATCAACACGTTAAAACTCCAAAGCGTTGTGATGCCCCATATATTGTCACAAATACTCAGGAGGGGAGGGTAAGATTAAGAATGTTACCTCCTACGGTTGCACAAAAAAATGGTAACGATTTTCAAATAATATTTGCTCATCATATCTTCTTCTCATCTAATACAGGTTTCTTTCCAAAAGCTCCGAAGATTTCTTCCCCCCAGGTTCCGGTGGAAGCCTACTTCAATGTCACTTTAGAGTGCGAAGTAGGTGTTAGGCCAAGCGACTGTTGGGACAGTTCTTTACGGTGGTATTTTATCAACAACTCAAGGAAATTAGAATCTGGTGAAAAGTATGATATACAAGAAAGGAAAACCGACACCAAATGCAAAACAGATTTCATTCTCACCATTGTTAACGTTACTGAAACAGACGAGGGAAAGTATAAATGTCAGTGGCTCTGCGAGGAGGACTACCCCAGCTTTTCCAGGTCTTCAATAATCCAGTTGAAAGTATATTCTCCTTCAGAAAAAGGTACTGTTACTCCTGTGATATCTAAAAGTCTTGTGTCACGAATTTATTCCTGGGTATGTGCCGCTGGCCTCTCAGAGCCCCTACGCCATTATAGTCTATTCTGTGGCCAATTATAGACCATATCTTAGTCACTTTTGTACAAATGTGTAATTTTCGCGATCCCAACTTAGTCACTTACTATTTTTATGAATTGACCCATTTTTTAGATTGAAGAAGAACACTTTACTTTTCATCTGCAGTACAAACATTCTGGTACGTTTGCTAACCGTAAATATGGAGAACTGTCTTACCCCCCAAAAATCCGAAAATATGCTACCCCATGATAATAAATCCAGTCGTGAAAATGGGACCACAGCGAGCGGCACGTCCCCATTAGCCTCTTATAAGGAGGTACTCACACCCCACCCCCCACCCCCTCAGCCTTAAAACAGTAACACACCAAATGCAAAAGGAGCCGTGTCATGTGAGGACAAGCTTGAAGGGTTGAAACCGATTGCAACTGATTTTTTCATTAGAAAACGGAGAATCCAATCCGAAGAATAACTCGCAATTGTATAACAGTAATTTTATTCGGTCTGAAATAAAATTGAACAAATATATTCTATTCAAAAAGTGTAATCAAATAATTGATACATGAAACTAGACAAAGGGGAATAAATTCAGATAAAAGCTAAAAGTTTATTCAAGCGAAATCACGCGGTTCTTGAAACAAACTTAATTTAAGCGACTTTAACTCTGTTTAAAAGGTGACGAAAGAAAGACTAAACAAACAAAACGAAGGTAATCTAAGATACTTCTATGGTGAGTTTTTAAAATGTCCTTGAATAAGCATCAAATCGGTCCGGGTAGCAGGTAAACTGTTAACACTTTGATCCTTGCAGTACAGCGGTCGGTAAAAAACTTATAGAAACTCGAACAAAGCGGGTACTTTTGTGCTTCCTGTTGGGCGTTTACGGTTTTCCTACTTTTGCCAGCAAGATTAAATATAAAAATTCCTTGAATAGTTCGTTTACTAGGTTAACACTGAGGTTTTTGAAAACTCAAATAGCCTAAAAGTTTTTCAAAATTCATTTTTTTTTGCCTGTAACTTTTCATATAATGTTTGGGGAACAAATGTGTTTGACATGAAGCAGTGATTTTGTCATTTGCAAGTGATTTCTTAACTTACGCTGAGTTCCATTGAGAATAAGGACATATTTGGCAATATTATCAAAATGAACTAGCAAACCATGACGTCATAGCCCATTTGTTTCTGTAAGAGGGTACTCCCTTTGTAAGCGAATTGTTTAAAACCGTTTGGGTCTGAAACAGGGAAAGGTTTTGCGCCGTTTGGATACAGGGTCTGAAATTAGATGTTCGTGCATGAGTTTTTGATATTTTTGTTGTTGCTATTGTTTTAAATCATCCGCCTTCAGGTCTGTGAATAGGGTAGGAAAAGTCGTGCTCTACCGAAACAGGTGGACAGCGAACTCCATAAATACGTGCACTTGAAATTTCCTTTTAAACGGATAGTGCAATCGAAGGGTAAAGTTTAATTCTGTTTTTGAAATAATTAGTATAGGTAATAGCATGATTTGTAGTGATATTTGACATAAATACCACGAGTGATATTTCGAAATTGTTATACATAATTTCACGAGCCGCTAGGCGAGTGAAATTTGAGACAATTTTGAATTATCACGAGTGGTATTTATGCCAAATATCTCGTACAAATCATGCTATTATTTTTTTATACTACTACCCGCAAAAGGTTTGTAATTTTCACATGTAGGTATTTCAAATTTAACTGAAATACAACTGCTCTAAGCCAATCAGATTGCAGAAATTTCTCATGTAGTAGTATAATCATGGAGGTAAATTATAGCTCAAATTTCTACTCGTGTGGGGCTATTTATTATTAGGAGCCAGACAGCAACTCTGTCGCGATACCCATCAAGGGGACGGCGAATCGTAACACCCTCCTTTATCTGCATAATCGTTTCACACGATACAATAGCCGAATCAGAATCCAGCACTGCATCTGGGTTGAGTAATGTATTAGGTTCCATATTATATTTTTGGGCAGGTTTTGCACATGTGCAGTTGCATTAAAAGAATGAATAGCAAATGGTTCGTTTCGTGTTGTTGTTTAAGACCAAAATATTACAATTTTAGCGACTAGGATGGCGCTTGTACGGCAAGTTGGAGAGTATGTGGACGGTAAAGAAGAAATTGCAAGTTATATCGAAAGAGTCGAATTGTATTTTGCGGCGAATTATGTCAAGGCGGATTACAGTTTGTTGCTACGTTTCTAGCGTTTATTGTAGCAGATGCATATGGCGTGCTGCGAAATTTGTTAGCCCCTGAACGTTCAAAATATAAGTCTTTTGTGCAATAGTATGAAAGCTGACTGAACGATTTGGAAACCCAGCTCTAATTTCAAGGTTACCGATCAATAAGTTCCTGGAGATATCAGCAGATCAGGATGAAAACACTTTGACAACTCGCGGAACATATATTGTGAGAACATTCATGGAGCAGGCTTTAGACCAGCAACTAATATGCAGCAGATTATTACAAAGCTACCTCCAAAAATTGCAGTAAGGTGAAGCAGGCAAAAGTTAAAGCTACAGCCCAAATAAGTTGACCTTAGCGACCTAGATGAGTGGCTAAAACCGAGAGTCAAGTCAAAGTGATAGCCTTTGGCTGCTCCAGTAATATAGAGAATCCTGAACAAGAGAAACCCAAGTCAAATTCAAACAAATCGAAGTGGCTCAGGAGAAAGAACATGCGAAGACTCATGTAATGTTTTGTGAGCTAAGAAAAACATTTACTGACATTGTATGAAACCTGGAAGAATCAATTGTAAGTGAACGATGGTAATTATAAGAGAAGTTGGGTTTGTGCTTTAGATGCCACAGTAGAGGACATCGTCGGCTGAGACATTCCAATCCTCGCAAGAAGCCACAGGAAAGATGTCATCACCTGGAGTACCAACTAATCACACGAGCTGTTGAGGTTCTGAAGACTTGAACCAGTAAGTGTACCACGCCCTGAAAGGGTAGCGCTGCAGATGATACCCACCATATTGATGGTGGGTCTGGGTCGTCCTTCCTGAAGAGGAGATCGCTGAAATACTGGGTTTGTAAGCACTCTGTGTTGCTGCTTTTGGAGCGAAGTCGAATGTAACGGATAGCAAAAATGTAACTGCCCGCCAGCCTTGAGGGTATGAATTTGAGCAACAAGAAGCAAATATTTTTTTGTGGAAATTTGTGAAATGAAACAAACTGATTGGTCCGTCAATGCAAGAAATTAGATCATAATCGCGACCTGGAGATCATAAAGCCAGTTCAACACGTAGAAGTTGATTGAGAAGTGATTATTATGAGGAACTCATTTTACCACTTGAATATCGCAAAGGACATGTGGGAGAGCCTGTAACAGTAAAGAAAACCACTCGCATAGGCAATAGTTGGCAGGGGCACCCAACGTCAATTTTCGGAAAATATCTGTTCGGAACACGATTTGAGATCTAAAATTTTCGGAACATTTGTTGTAAAATTTCGTACCTGCCTGCCTCTCCTAGCATTTTAGAACAACTGAAAAATGGTATAATTGCCCATTTTTAGCGGATTTTTACCCTAAAAGGGTCACCTAGAATTTTCGGGAGTCTTTCGAAAAGGTAAGGTTTGATCCCTATAATTTTCGGATCACTAGACTTTCAGCTAGGAAATCCCAACAGATCAAAATTTTTTATGGGATACAAATACGCCTATAAGTACCGTTTAATACTAAAATACGTTTAACAATGCTATGTTTAAGTGGTTTGGAACTATATTCTCGTTGGGTGCCACTGAGTTGGAAATGTCTCGGATAAAGCAAACGAGTTTCATGAGGCTTGCAATGGTTACACATATACCAAGCGACCTTTACTCCAGAAATGAGGGCCGATGGGCTAATACAAAAGATGTGGGACGAAGACGTTGAGGGAATTGCTGATCAAAACAAGCGCTTGACAGCAGAGGAGGTACTTGCTGCGCGCAAATAGGCACAATCAAAGCGTTATGCTAAGGGGCTATGAAGTGGCAATTCCATAGAAGGACGATGATTCGCCGTTGTGTTCAAACAAAAAGACTGCTGAAGACCGACTTATCTCTTGAGAAACACCTTCAGGCAATGCAATTTACATTTCTTTGTCTCATTCTCTTAAACAAGCATCATAAACTCTGACCACGAGAGAGAAAACATCCAGTTTGACCAAAATTATGGACCGAAAGACCCTCGGTAAGGGTGGATTTACGTTTTGAGAGGCGAATAACAGTGTATAAGCACTTGGAGGGTTTGCCAGACACATGTTTATCATTCACAAATCTTCTTTTACATTTGCTTTCCCTCACTACATGAACTCATCCTAATGCAATCGATACAAGTAAATCTTTGATTGGAAACGATTTTAGCATTAAGTGAACGCTTGAATCAAGATAGCTTATTCGCAGAAGATGCACGATTACAGACATTCGCCTACAATTTATTTCTGGGTTACGTATTTCTCTTTACAAATTTCCCTATTCATTTCCAAATTCATTCTCCGGCTGTTAAAATGAATTGCATGTAAAAAGTGCAAGGGGAATAAAGGAAATTACACCTTCTAATAAAATCTAGAAACTGAGAGTGTTTTGATCAAAGCAGCGTAAATCGATTTGAATCAGTGCATGGAATCTTGCGTTTTCTGTTTTTATCTCCCCAATATGATATCAATATGAATCTGTAAATTTCAAAGCGCTTCAAAAGAGTCATACAAAGGCAAAGGATACAACTGACCAAAAAAGAAAAAAGAAAAAGGGACGTTGTAATGTCAACTATATTAAACACCTGCGCATATATAAAAACCAACACCGTAACTCATATGTTTATATAATTACTTATATAAGTAATCGTATTTGTTTCTCTTTTCACTTTAGATATCTTTTTTTTATATATCGATGAAAGTAATATGTAGGGGACGTTTCCCCTTTACCAACTATATTTGCAGATTCTTCGACACCATCGTCACAAAAGACCACTAGTTCAACTTCAACAGGTCAGTGATGTTAAGGGGTGGTCACTAAGTATAGTGTTGCAATGCGACTAATTGCAGTGGCGTATCCAGACCTTCAAATAAAGGGGGGCGGTCATCCAGACCCTTAGATAAGGGGGTGGGGGCGGTCTTAAATTTTTTTTTCGACCTTTCAGGCCTGAGTTTGGTCCAAAAATAGCGGGGAGGGCCGGGCCTCCTGGGCCCCTCCCCTGGATCCGCCTCTAAATTGCCAACCAAATCTGAAAATAGCATCCAGATCTTATCGCTTTTCAAATCATACGAAACAGTGGAAGAAAACAGAACCACTCTGAGTCGGTCCCTGAGTCGCTGGACTGTTATGGGAATTCAAAAGTAATCACCGTGTGTTAGTAAAACGCAGGGTCGCGGCAGGGGTCGAGGTCGGGGTCTATCTCTCTTTTTTAAAGAATGCTGTTTTAGGGTTATGTTAGGGTTAGGGTTAGTGTTATGTGAGGGTTAGGGTTAGTGTCAACCCGAACCCTAACCCTAACCCTAAAACAGCATTCTTTAAAAAGAATATAGACCCCGACCCCGGCCCCGACCTCGCGTTTTACTGACACTCGTAATTACCAACAAGTTGCATCGTGCTCCAGTCTAAAGACACGTTTTCACAAATTAACAAAATATATAGTGTATTAATCCCGGGTAGGCCCACAGGTAACCCAGGCTCTGAGATAGTACCACAGTACAGTTCCAGTAAAATTCCAGGGGGAGGGGGGAGGAGGACTTCGCATATGAAAGGGGTGGGGATGCTCGTCGGAAATTTTGAATTAAACCCCTAAAAGAGACCGGTCTGGGCGTGGCCCAAGCTTTGTTTGATCCCTAAAAGAGGCCATGTTAAAACTTAGACAGATGAGAAAACTTGGATTATATAAATGGAGTAAATAGAACGAATTAAAAATATACATATCAAATATATAGTTTTGTATTTTTTCGCGTGCAACCCTAAACGAGACATTCACGGCTAAATATGATGGCGTTTTGCCCAGAGCACCCTAAATGAGACCAAAATCCGAAATTTACACCCCTAAGCGAGACGACGAGCATCCCCGCCACTTTCATATGCGGAGCCCCCCGGGGGTAAAATTACAGTGTTAGTATGGGGTAAAAATACGATCCTAAAATTTCTAGGAGACACTAAATAAAAATCAATGAAACTTACTCTACAGTTAGTTGTTGTTGTCCTTAATGCTCCAACGACGTTTCGTGATAATTTGTTCAACTTCACTCTATATACAATAATAATATACAAGGTAGGAGACTCGAGATGCCATCTTCGCCGCGACGCTCTCATTCAACACAACCTTTTCCACGAAATTCGAACTCCAGCGGAAAATAAACATGCCAAGATCGTTGAAATAGAATGGCAGCAGATATAGAGACCAATGAAGCTTTCTCAGATAGAGAAACGAATCCCACAGACTTTGAAGAACTCGAAGGATATAATCGAAAAAGACCGAGAACATGATCGCCGAAGTAGCCGGGCCAGGTCAACGCGCGGCCAAGAAAATGAGGCCTGGGCACTGTACAAAAAAAATCCATCCCGGGAGTCCTGTGGTGACCTTTCTGGGGACCAATACATCATTTGCCCAAAGCTACCCTCCAATGGTGGAAAAATACTTGATAGAAGGCAATTGTTCTTCCTAGCCAATCACAATTCGCCAGAGCAAACCCCGCACACGCGACTAAAAAAATAACAAAACCAGGATAGTCTAAATTTAAATTTAGGCGCGTGTGCGGGGTTTGCTCTGGCAAATTAATTGTGCTTGGTTAGGAATAACAATTGCCTTCTGTCAAGTATTTTTCCAGCAGGGGAGGGTGGTGTATCGGTCCCCAGAAGGTCATCCCAGGACTACCGGGATGGCTTTTTTTGGTACAGTGCCCAGGCCTCATTTTCTTGGGTTCGAGTTTGTCAAGGTCTGTGGGATTTCTCTCCCTATCTGGGAAAGCTTCATTGGTTTCCATATCTGCTGCTATTCTATTTCTACGATCCTGGCATGTTTATATTCCGTTGGAGTTCGAATTTCGTGGAAAAAGTTGTGTTGAAAGCGAGGATGGCGGCGAAGATAGCATCTCGTGTCTCCTACCTTGTATATTATTATTGTATATAGAGTGAATTTGAACAAATTATCACGAAACTTCGTTGGAGCATTAAGGACAACAACAACTAACTGCAGAGTAAGTTTCATTGATCTTTATTTAGTATTTTCTAGAAATTTTAGGATCGTATTTTTACCCCATACGAACACTGTAATTTTACTGGGACCGTACTGTGGTACTATCACAGAGCCTGTGTCACCTGTGGTGGGCCTTTCCCAATTATGCTCGGCAACTTTTGGCTTTTGGAGCAAATTTTTGCGGTTCTAGCAACCTCGAGCAAATTTTGCCTTTCTGAACAACTTTTGAGCAAAATATGGGTTTAGTGGCCCCCCGGTTTAAAGCACATATCAAACACGAAAAAGTCAACGAGTTCATAGAAAACTTCAATGTTTTTAATTTCTTTTTTAATTTTTTTTAATTTTTAATTCTTTTTTATTCTGAGGAACGAAAATAAAGCTTTTAATCAACATCAATCAAGAAATTCAGGTGGAAACTTTTGAAATTCAGGTAGCAACTTTTTGGCATTCCAGTGAGCAACTTTCCAGCATTTTACGAGCACAACTGGGAAAGGCCTAACCAGGGGGGATACTCCCTGTAATGGCATATACGGGGGGCTCAAAAAGGGGTACCTTTTTCAGGCATTAGATGGAGAACTTTTTTTTCTCAGCTATCGTAGCGATCATATGGAAACCAGGCTTTAAGCTCCCTGTTAGACTGCGTCAGGTCGCAGACATAATTTACTAGGCAATAACAAAACTGCCCATGCCCCTGCGCAGACCCCTGGGAATCTGATTTTTTTTAAAGGTTTTGGTCAAATTCCCCGGTATGTTGGCAGTTTAGATGGTCAAATACCCCACCGGCTAGCCCTTCAAAAAATGTCAAATCCCCCCCACTCCATTAGCGACTTTTCATGATCAAAAATTTTCTCCATGCGTCAAACCGTTTATTCAAATCTAAATTTCCTCCTAATCACAACCTGGGAACGAAGTTGCCGAAATATGTCAAGTCTAGGAAAACTGTCTTACGGAGATTTGTTCATTCCAATAACATTGTTCATTTCAGAAAGCCCGCATTTAACGGGCTTTTTCAAGCTACGTTCAGACGGACGCAATGTTGGGAGTTGTTGGCCAACAATGTTGCTCCAACAATGCTGCGTCCGTTTGCACGTAGCTTCAAAGGCTCTCAAATGCTCCAACAAAAGAGTGAATATAGGAGCAATGACGTCAATAATCCTTGAACGTGATGTACACGGTGAACGAAACACTGACCAACATTTTGACACAAAAGTCAATGCCTGACAGGTCGGGCCTCAGTTTGGGTCAAATTCCCCACTGTACGGGAAAATGCCCGGGGTATGCCTGGGGAGTGGGAGGTTTTGGAATTGACTGGTAAATAATCTAACCCTTGTTAGAAGTTTAGTTCCGTCTTTGGCGCAGGCAAGCTAGCTGGATTAAGGCTCGATACTGATAAACATTCGGCTGGTGCACGATATACCTAGCGAATAGCAAGTCTCGAGTTACGTCACAAAGAACACAACAATGATCCTTATCCCTTACACAATAACACAATAGAACGAGACAATAGTGCATATTGACTCGGTATATATATCGAGCATCACCCAAACATTAGCTCATTTGTTTAAAACCCACTTTTAACTGAGTCTGGGTTTCTAATTTCTTTCTAGTAGCAGCAACCGGTCAGGGTAACAGCAAGTCAGCTGACAAGTGGATTCCAGCGATTGCGATTTTAACGGCTGGACTGGCCTTGTTTTTTATCCTGTTTACGACGTATCACTTTATTAGTAAAAAGTTTGGCACAGGATACCGCGCGTGTAAACGTAAGATGACATCCAATTATTTATCAAGCAAAGGAAATCACTAAAAGGGGCTTTGTCACGAGGATACTTGGCTGAGATCATTACTTAATACCTCACAAAATGCTCAGTTAGATATAAGAAGAAGATTCCACACAAACTTTGTCAGGGAGCAGTAACCATAATCATAGTTATTAGAGGAGACTGGTTATGAAAAGCGGCAAACATCAATGATAAAAGCAACAGTGCTGCAGTTTATGTTGGAAGTACCGTGAAAGTGCACAATCCTTTGTTTTCTGTTGGCAAATTGTTATTGGTCAATACAATCAAAATGATAGGAATTCTTTTGAACGTTGTGCACTTTCAGGTCCACAAAAACATATAACAAAGGAGTCTGACGGGTTTCATAACCATTCCACTCAATTAACTATGCCATAATATTTTTTGGCGATTTTTGCAAGCAAAGCTTCAAAACTTAAAAATGTTGGTTTTAACCGTTTTTAAACAGTATTTTGGGTGAGGTAATATAATAGCCTTATATATTGTATAATTTAGCATTTATAGGAATATGTAATTATGTTATAGGAATATGTAATATGTTTATAGAATTATGTAATTTATGCGACAAAAATTTTTTCCTGTCTTCTGTTGCAACGGATGGCAAGGATAGACATGGATTGAAAGATCCTTGCCATCCGTTGCAACAGAAGACAGGAAAAAATTTCAATGCCTAGATTACATAATTCTATAAACATACCGTTAGCTGGTTTGTCGTTTCTTAGTAGAATCAACATTGGCTGTAAATGATGATTTCATGTGTATCTCTAGGCTCGATTTCCAGCCGCTTGAGGAAGTCCCAATCGTATTCTCCTCATAACAAGCTGAAACTAACTTGGTGGGAGCGAAGGAAAACGGGCGTCGGCTTTCATGGTTATCGAGACTAGTTTATTTCCTGCCAATTGTGATTTATTAAATCATTGATTAAGTGCCTGTAAACTACATGGAGCTGATAACGTCACTACATTTTACTTAAAGTTTATAACGAGTAGTTAAGGGGGTTGATATGGCCAGTAACCAATCACAGAGCAGTATTCTTTTGTTTAAGATTTAGAGAACAATGGGAACAATGGAGCTCATTCGTATTCAGTACTTTGAACCAATCGCAGAGCAGCATTAGAAATACCCCCTTCATGTAATAGTCAGCAAAAGCACATGTTATAATTTTCGTGCCATATTCAACTACGCGCTAAAAGATCAGGGGCACCCAACGACAATTTTCGGAAAATATGTGTTCGGAAGACGATTTGCGATCTAGAATTTTCGGAACATTTGTTGTAAAATTTCTTGCTTGCCTGCCTCTCCTAGGATTTTCGAACATCTAAAAAATGGTATAATTGCCCATTTCTAACGGATTTTTACTCGTAAAAGGTCACCTAGAATTTTCGTGAACCTTTTTTGTGGCTGAAATTTTCGAAAAGGTAAGTTTTGATCCCTATAATTTTCGGATCACTAGACTTTCAGCTAGGAAATCCGAACAGATGAAAAATTTCTAGGGGATAAAAATATGCCTATGTCTACCGTTTAAATACTAAAATACGTTTAACAATGCTATGTTTAAGAGGTTTTGAACTATCTTCTCGTTGGGTGCCCCTGAAAGATGTTTTATTATGCAAGAAAATGGCGCCCTTTGCCATGAACGCATCAAATATTGAACGATTTGCTGTCTTAACAACAGAAAAGGCAGAAAGACCTCTTTGAAGTAAACAAGAACTTAACCGAACAATGGTTTTGGCATTTACGGCGATTGGAAAAAAAAAGCAAGATAAACGAGTGTTGTTTGCACGCGACGGTATGCTGTACAAAGAATTTTACAAGGTCCAGAAACGGACCCGATTTTGCAGGGGCAAAGAAATTTACACAACACAGTATTTCATCGCAATTATTTTATTCACCTCAAAGAGTATATCATTGTACACAAGAAATAATGATAATGACGAAAGAAATGGCTAATGGTTACATCATCACTTAATGTGTAGTCTACCAAATTGTCTCTGTAAGTTAGGTCTTGTTCGTAGGTAGGTCCTTTTTCAGATGATACAAATAACACATTTTGTTGTAATCTTCGCTTGAACAAATCGTTCATTTCCAATAAGGCATCAGGATAATCGTAGATATTACGTACACCAATAATGACAGTTCTGCTGATCAACGTGGGGTTCATAATCTGTTCCTCCGTCATTTCCTCACACCATACTTTTTGAAATGCAATCTGTTGTAGCTGTAGTTTGTTGGAAAACGGACCACCATAAGAGAATTATTTCTCAGCCATACTTGTCTTTGGACAAACACGCCGCGGGTTGATTATGCAAAAATCTTCAACTTAAGACCAGGTATTGTGTAAAAAAAATGCAATTAAGAATTAGCCGTTTAGCTTTTGTCTTTTTTTAAAAATGAGCGATTAAGACATTGAGTTCCCACTTCGAAAAAAGTCAAGGAAGGTTGTTTCACAATCATCTAGAACATGTTGTATTTCTTTGCAAAATTGTAATTCTCTGTCTATCGACAAACCTATGAAATACCTGTGGCAAAAACAACAAGACGATTCAGAAGAAGAGGGCTCTTTTAACCCTGATTGGATAGTGAACAATCTATTATGTGTTCAACAGACAAACGCGCTCTCCGTTCAATCATGATTTCATTCTTTAAAGTTCAGTTTGCTCGGAAAAAAGTCTTAACTCTCAACAATATTCTTTGGAACATTGTCCAGCGTCAAAGGATAGCCAGTTTTATTGGACATGTATTCTAACTGACTTACGCGGCTTTGGTTGACAAACTCATCCAACAAGAAACGCTGAATCACTGCGACGGTTGTGCTATTCAACACCCAAGTCAAAACCAACATTCTTGCCTCATGATGGATAATGATGACGCATGGAAGTATTACCACGATGAAGTGGTGGAACAAATTGACCTGAATTCTATGTTGAACGCTACCGAAAGTATATGCAGTGCTCTCGGCTTCAAACTAGATAAATCATGGGAAGCGTACTGCCAAATATTGTCGTGGACCAGTATTTACCTCGCTTCTGTGGAACTTGATGTTGTCCAGCAGGGTGATGATCTTCAAAGCCGTATTTTATACGCTCTATACTACCGACCAAATGGGCTCAAATGGAAAGATTTCAGTGATCAACAGGAAATAATAGAATGCCTTGATAGAGTCGTGAGAAAAGAAGAACACCAATGGACCTTGACATGATAATTAATGACATTCAAAATAAGCTTTGTTTCTAAAAGTAATAAAATTTCTTCATGATGACTAAAATTTTGAGTCGGTGTGTGTTTGTCTCTGTCTTTGTCAAGATGGGGCTTTCTCTGTCTTTGCTTCGGGTCGACTTTTCTCTGTATCGCATTGTATATAAAGAGTTTTCCTTTAGGTGTAAAAAAATGTCATTGGTTCATAGTTTGAAATAAATATGGTTTAACATAAACACGGTTTGTTGTCTGTCTAGCCGCGCGCGCGTGTGTGCACCACGCGCGATTGAATCACCCGCGTAAAGGAAAAATACAGTGATATAAAAGGCCCTTGTGGCCCCTGTGGCCCGTTCTCAATAGTCATAAACTTCGTGTCATTAGCGGTTTTACTCAGTTGGTATCGAACCTTCGTACCGTGAACATCATGGGTAAGCGTGTATGTCGTCATTGCCCAATACCGGGATGTCACTCTAAATTTTTAGTTCGATTAGCAAACCATTTGGCTCAGGTACACGAGCTGTCTGACTTAGAGAGAAAATATTGGCTCCAGTTTGCTAAATTACAAAATACCAACATGGTTCGAGTTTATGATAAAGATACTCCGCCAAATACCATTTCGATATAAATAAGAGCAAACGCAGTTGAACCAGTCAGTTATCAACATGGACCCAAGGTGGAAACACCCCTTTCCTGCTATTGTAGCTGGCCCCACTTGTTGTGGAAAAAGTCATTTTGTCAAACACGTGTTGGAATCTGGAGAAGAATTAATAGACGGAGCTCCTGAAAATATCATTTGGTGTTATGGAATATACCAACCGGCTTATGATGAAATGCTAAGGACTATTCCCAACATCACGTTCGTCGAAGGAGTTCCTGGTGATTTAGAATCTCTGATAAACCCAACCATTCGGAATTTAGTGGTCATTGACGATTTAATGCAGGAGCTTAGCAATGATCAAAGAATTACCAATTTGTTTACTAAGGGCTGTCATCGTCGAAATTTAAGCGTCATTTTCATTCTTCAAAATATTTTTCACCGTGGAAAAGAACTGAGAGACATGAGTTTGAATTGCCATTATTTGGTGATGTTCAAGTCTCCGCGAGATAGCAGTCAAGTCAGTCACTTGGCGAAACAGATGTTTCCCGGTCATGTCAAATACATGCAAGAAGCGTTTCAGGATGCGACAAAACGCCCTTATGGCTACCTGTTATGCGACCTCAAACCCGAAACACCTACCGACTTCCGGTTGCGCACAAACATTTTCCCTGGGGAGACTCAGCTCGCCTATGTCAGAAAGGTATAAAAAAGTTCCATCGTAGTGACTGATATCAGTTGAGTATGGCCCAGCGACTAAGAAAGAACCACGATTTTCTTAAGCTCCTCGTCAAGTGTACCCCAGCTCAACGTAAAGCAATTTTGAAAGCAGCCGACGACGCTTTAGTAAAAACCATTTGTGAGTGTGTATTCAACGTACTTAAAGAAACAGTCCCTGTCAGTAAACCGGCAAAGAGAAAACTTCTTAAGCACAAGAAAGCCTTGACTGCTCTAGCTGAAAAGAGTACCCCGCTAAACAAGAAAAAGCAAATCTTGATACAACACGGAGGAAACGTTTTAAGTGTTTTGCTACCTCCCGTTCTTCGAGTGTTGAGCTCGCTTCTTAGTTAAGATGAATCATACAAGACGCATGGTTCTCGTTCCTGAAAACACTCTGGAACGATTGCAGCAACGCCAGCAGATATTAATACCACCTGTAACACAAACTCTGAAAAATCTGGATAGCCAAATGGGGGATATTTTAGAAAGTAAACAACT